CAAAACGATATTATAATGACAGAGAAATATTCTTACTACAATTCAAATTATCTAAGATAATTAGTTTTTTTCTATGCCATGCTATAATGAACGTGAGTGGTGGAGTTTCGACAAATGTCCCAAGGAACCCCAAACATTACTGTCTTTGTCAGAAGTAGGGCACGAAGGTGCACGAATGTTCACGAAGGGGTGACTGCGCGGGAACTCAACCTTTCTAGAATAATGTTGAATGTTCCACTTCCCTTTGCCATTGTGACTTCCAGTTTATAAAATTGAAAAATGATTATTATTATCGGCTGACGTTGACTTTTTCATGTTGTATTGTATTGTTAGGTTACATTTAAAAGGAAAGCTTGTTAGAAATGTTATCGTGAATTTTATTGTCATTTAAATTGGGATGCTTTTCTTTATTTATTTATTTATGATATTATACTTACAGCATCTTGGACATGAATTAAACTGTCAAACACCAAGCGGTCACCGGTGACCGCGACCTATTGTTCTTTAATTGTGTCTATAAAACCGGTACTCGACGAGTTAAGTACCTTCTACAATGTACAGTATTTTTTGGGGTAAATATTAAAAATAACATGGCAAGGTATGATTAATACTTGTCTGTCACTGATAACACGACGTCGACGTCGAGCGATGGCCGCCAGTGTTGCAACTTATTAGTCATCTTGTTTACATTTTGCAGCAAATTACAAATTTAATCAAGACTCAAAATTTTGAAGATAAGAACCCTACCAAAACGCAAACATAGATAATACAACCCCTATACTTATACTCTTTGGGTAATACGTACTTATATATATAGTAACCCGTTGAAAATTGTGGAAAATCATCCCCTAAATTTGTTCATACAAAAGTAGTCTCTAAACATTGAAAATAAGGTCTATAATGTGTGGAGAGTGGTCACTGGTGACCGCTTGGGGATATACGGGAAGTATTATGTTTGCGTTTTGGTGTGGTTTATACTTACCACGTGATAATAACAATGCCAATAAACAACACGAATAACATGCGCACTATTGCTCTTAAGGGCTTAGTAGTCTAAAAATGTACTAAAGCTTAGGGTTACTTAAGCTTAGGTACCTTCTCACTACGTGTCCAATTTATTGATGCAAATTATAATTTAGCATAATAAAGGTCATCTCATCACATGGGTACTTCAAGCACAGCTCCGGTACGGCACGGCGCGTTTTTAGCTTTGGAAACAATATGAATTACTTATCACAGGTAAATAGGAGTAAGTAATGGTTTTTTCAATCCGGGTAAACGCCAGATATTTGCCACTTCATCTATTTTTCATACTGAACTAATAATGGCTTGTTCTACGACATAGTTTAGTTCTAGTCTGTATCTTTAGGAGCCATAAACATTATATTAGTGATTACCTATGGTGGGAATCGAACCCGCTACCCGCTATACGTCGCGCAGTAACCAGTTGCCCAGCCACCTCGATTAGCGTTATGTTGTGTTCAGTTCCTGAGCTACCCATAGTATATCTCCTCAGTCAGTCAATCACCCCCTATGACATGTCTCACCCCAAGACATGGGACTCATAAAATAAATAGTGAAAAGTGGGTGTTATTACATTGTAGAGGTACAGTGGCATAATGTGCACCTCTGCCTACCCCTTCGGGGATAAAAGGCGTGATATCATGTCAGCCAATCAAGCTTTTCTGGTTTTATCAAAAAATCTCGTGGCAACACAGAGTCAGCAGCAAAGAGTAAAATAAGTATAGGGGAAGTTAGCAGTTCAGCATGGACCGTGTATCGTGTAGGACTGATGGTGCTTGCTAGTATGGTGGAATCAATGGATGGAACCATGATAAAACATTATAATGTTATTATGATTTCTGAAAAATGGGTGTTTGGTAGGTTAAAAGCCATGATGTTATATGTGTGTTATATTATCTCATAGGTTAGGTTAGGTTAAGTTAGAAGATTAAAGAATTCGTGCGGTCGATGGCCCTTTACGGGGCACCAGTTTGGGCAGACGGTCTGACGGAACGCAATGTTGCTTTGCTGCGAGGTCCGCAGCGCGCGATGGCCGTCAGAGTAATAAGGGGGTACCGCACGATCTCTTTTGAAGCGGCCACCCTTCTAGCTGGATCTCCGCCCTGGGACCTAGAAGCAAAGGCTCTCGCGTCACTATATAGGTGGCGCGGGGAGTTGACTGCCCGGGGCGAGAGATATCCGCCACGAGTTCTTGAGGCACGACGCTTAGAACTACGTCGTGAAACAATGGCAGAGTGGAAGATGCGACTTGCGCAACCTAGCGCAGGGCACGCCGTAGTAGCGGCGGTAAGCCCAGTTATGGAGGCGTGGATCAGCAGAGGGCATGGTGCCCCAAGCTTCCGGTTGACACAGGTCCTTTCCGGACACGGCTGCTTCGGAAAGTACTTGTGTCGTATAGGCCGGGAGCAGACGTCGGCGTGTCATCACTGTAATGACAATTTGGAGGATACGGCGCAGCATACGCTCGAAGAGTGCTCTACATGGGCAGAGCTGCGTCGTGAACTCATTACAGTGCTCGGAGGGAATGATCTCTCATTGCCGACCGTAGTGCGAGCTATGGTTGACAGTGAGAGTGCATGGGATGGAGTCGCTTCCTTCTGTGAACGTGTCATGTTGGCAAAGGAGGCGGCTGAAAGGGAGAGGGAGGCGTCCAGCTCTCTCCCTTCCCGCCATAGACGCGCCGGCCGTCAACGCCGTGAGGCGATAGCTGATCTGCGACCTCCATAGGCGAGACCTGCGGGCGACTGATTAGGGGAGTCAGTCGTCCGCTGTATGGGCGGGAGTAGGCGTTAGCGGTGTGTTCACGCGCGCCACTCGAGGAAGGAAATCGCAGCTTTTGAGGGCTGCTACGTGGCGGGACCTGCCACAATTTAGTGGTAGGTCGAGGCCTGCCGGGTGCGGTGAATCCGCAAGGGCGTCCCGGGTCACGGCCACAGGCAGAGGAGGAACACCGCGGTGGTTTTAGCCGGTAAGAGTCCGGCACACCCCCCCGTCGTCCCCACGGCGTGGGAAGTCCATGAGGATTTCCATCGCGTTATAAAAAAAAAAAAAAGAAGATTAAAGAATAAAGGTTAGAGGAATATATTGTCAAGAAAATAATAAATTAGTAAAATACGTAGACCGTAAGAGTTCATAATTAGGTACCTAATTATTTACGCGTCATTTGAATTGATTGAAAAAAAAAACATTCTCAAGAGTTATATCATTTCAGGAAAATATTATCTACAAACAAATGATTATATACTCATATTTTTATGTTTTTTATTGTTAGGTATTACAAGTTTGTATTTGTAAACAAATTCAAGTCATAATATCGCGCTGTCACTTAATGTTCATTATTATGATATTGCTATCTCTTTCATTCGTAACACGAATAAATGCGTTCCGTCCGTCCCCCTCTAGAATGGTCCTGATAAGCCGTTAGTGTTACCAGCGCATAAAAAATAAACTCCACATTAAACTCGTAAATATTTCGTTCAATCCAACATAATTATTAAAAAAATACATTTGTTAAACATTTTATTCAATAGTAATTTAGGCCATACTGAAATGATTTATGTTTTTGTACCTAGTAGTATAGTATTTAATCAATATTAATTACTATTAATAGAGATTGTTAAAGCAAGCTTGTACTTGACACATGATATTCATTTATTTCTATATCTTCACACAATTTTGTATTTTATTTTCTTTGACCATATTTTTTATTTATTACTAATATAATACATTTAAACCTATAATATAACATACAAAACCTTAAAAGTACTTACAAACAATGTAAACGAAAACTAAAAATAGGTATCTATTTGAATTAATTGAATTTACATGTAAAGAATAAGCACTAAGCATATACACCATCAAAAATTCACTATGTACCATTGTATTGAAAAGGGGCGCCGGATTTTATGAGTATTATAACATTAATTTTACAATTTGCGAATTATCTAAATGTATTTTATCAAACTGTAAACCATACTGTCAGAAACAAATTTTACAAAATTTATTTTTTGTATAATCTTCCCATATTCAGGTAAAAATTATAAGTTGGTATCACAAATGAAATAAAATGAGTTTACTTATCTCTTTTCCACCAACTCTCTGATTGGTCGAATAGTGCGTTCCATGCCTTCCTGAATGCTCTAGATAAGTCTTTGGTGTGGCCAAAGTATGAAAACCAAACTCCACAGAAAACCACGTCAAGAAAAAAACATCATAGTTATTGGTAAACCTATGTCGATAAAATTATAACTGATGCTCAATTATTAAACAGATAAATTCAAAACATTTAGATAGTAGATTCTTTTCTTGATATTTATAATTATAAAAAATCATAGTTAAAATATACTAAATACCTTAATTCTATTTTCTAATTATCTCAATGAAAACAACACAAATCAATATCTAAATCTTAGTAAAATAAAATAGTACATAATTACTGTAACAACGAAAATGCTGAAAGGTATGTAAAAACTAGTACGAACAGTTGTAAATTAATTCTTACAACTAAGCGTAATTAACTGCACTATTAAATACAAATATATTTATGTAACTTATGATTTTACCCACACTTTATTTTACCCAATTTTGTTTAACTATAAACTCCCCAAAGTCGGGGAAATTTTCTACGTTGGTATCTCTAATGAGATAGAATACATTGTCTATCTCTTTCCCACAAGTCCTCTGATTGGTCAATCTAGTTTGACATTTCTGGCAATATCTGGAATGTTCTGTCGATTCTGGACTGTGATTGGTAGATTCTCATGACATCTAGTCGGCTCTGGAAATCTCTCGAATCTGATTTGTTGAGTATATAAGAGCCGAGCGCTCGGCGGGAAGTCAGAATTATTTGAAACGCGATACAACGCAGACGAAGAGTTCGGTGCAGACCGAGGAGTTTGAGTTTACTAGTCTCGCAACGCAAGTTTATTCAACGATATTGTTATTATTATTGAGTGTGAAAAGAATCTAAAGACAAAATGCCAGCCATTGGAATAGATCTGGGTACCACATACTCGTGTGTCGGCGTGTGGCAGCACGGCAACGTGGAGATCATCGCCAACGACCAGGGCAACCGCACCACACCATCCTATGTGGCCTTCACGGACACGGAGCGCCTCATCGGAGACGCAGCCAAGAACCAGGTCGCCCTCAACCCCAGCAACACGGTGTTCGACGCCAAGCGACTGATCGGAAGGAAATTCGACGACCCCAAGATCCAGGCAGACATGAAACACTGGCCCTTCAGGGTGGTCAGCGACTGCGGCAAACCGAAGATCCAAGTGGAGTTCAAGGGTGAAACTAAACGGTTCGCGCCCGAGGAGATCAGCAGCATGGTGCTGACGAAGATGAAGGAGACGGCGGAAGCTTACCTCGGCACGACAGTACGCGACGCGGTGATCACAGTGCCGGCGTACTTCAACGACTCCCAGCGCCAGGCCACCAAGGACGCGGGAGCCATCGCCGGGCTGAACGTGCTCAGGATCATCAACGAGCCCACAGCCGCTGCGCTCGCGTACGGCCTCGACAAGAACCTCAAGGGCGAGAGGAACGTCCTCATCTTCGACCTCGGCGGCGGAACGTTCGACGTGTCGATCCTGACCATCGACGAAGGTTCGTTGTTCGAAGTGAGGGCGACGGCGGGCGACACGCATCTCGGAGGCGAGGACTTCGACAACAGATTGGTGAACCATCTCGCGGACGAGTTCAAGCGCAAGTACAAGAAGGACATGCGCATGAATCCTCGCGCACTGCGCCGCCTCCGCACAGCCGCCGAGCGCGCTAAGCGCACGCTGTCGTCCAGCACCGAAGCCAGCATCGAGATCGACGCGCTCTACGAGGGAATCGACTTCTACACTCGCGTGTCCCGCGCGCGCTTCGAAGAGCTCAACGCAGACCTGTTCCGAGGCACCCTCGAGCCGGTCGAGAAGGCACTCAAGGACGCCAAGATGGACAAGAGCCAGATTCACGACGTCGTCCTGGTCGGAGGCTCGACCAGGATCCCGAAGGTACAGAGTCTGCTGCAGAACTTCTTCTGCGGCAAGAAGCTGAACCTGTCCATCAACCCGGACGAGGCGGTCGCGTACGGCGCGGCCGTCCAGGCGGCCATCCTGAGCGGCGAGCAAGACTCGAAGATCCAGGACGTGTTGCTGGTGGACGTGGCCCCTCTGTCCCTCGGCATCGAAACCGCCGGCGGCGTGATGACGAAGATCATCGAGCGCAACAGTAAGATCCCGTGCAAGCAGTCGCAGACGTTCACCACGTACTCGGACAACCAGCCGGCGGTCACGATCCAAGTGTACGAGGGCGAGCGAGCGATGACCAAGGACAACAACCTGCTGGGCACGTTCGACTTGACTGGCATCCCGCCCGCGCCGCGTGGCGTCCCTAAGATCGACGTCACCTTCGACCTGGACGCGAACGGCATCCTCAATGTGTCGGCCAAAGAGAACAGCACCGGCCGAAGCAAGAACATCGTGATCAAGAACGACAAGGGACGCCTGTCGCAGGCCGAGATCGAGCGCATGCTCGCCGAGGCCGAGAAGTACAAGGACGAGGACGAGAAGCAGAGGCAGCGCGTAGCGTCTCGAAACCAGCTCGAATCGTATGTGTTCAGCGTGAAGCAGGCGCTGGACGAGGCCGGAGACAAGCTCACGGAACAGGACAAGAGCACGGCGAGAGACGCGTGCGACGACGCGCTCAAGTGGCTCGACAACAACACGCTGGCGGAGCAGGAGGAGTATGAGCACAAGCTGAAGGACGTGCAGCGCGTCTGCTCGCCCGTCATGGCCAAGATGCACGGGGCGGGCGCAGGCGCACAGAATGCAGGCGGTATGCCTGGTGGCATGCCCGGAGGTATGCCTGGTGGCATGCCCGGAGGTATGACTGGTGGCTTTGGAGGAATGCCTGGTGGCATGCCTGGAGGAATGCCTGGTGGCATGCCTGGAGGAATGCCTGGTGGCATGCCTGGAGGAATGCCTGGTGGCTTTGGAGGTATGCCTGGCGGATACGGAGGCTACCAGCAGAATAGTGGGCCAACTGTGGAAGAAGTCGACTAAACAAATGTTTCTCAAATCATGTACATATGTAAGATCTGCATTTAAGTTATAAGACTGATTATTATTTATTTTCTTGTGTTAGCATAATTCAACAGAGGAAATGTTGTTATATATTAAGTTTGTAAATATGTAAATTGTACCTGAATGTAATAAACAAAAATTAGTTTAGTAAAATTTATTTTGTTTTATTTCCAAATAAATAACGGTAACCAGTGCCTTTAGCCAAACGCCACTTTAGCGCTTGTCTACAGAGAGAGTAGAAAACTTAATGTATGGGGAATGGGGATGACACTGACAAGTGTCACAATTTACGTCAATTCCATATACCTAATTTGTTTTCCTATTCTACATGTAGACAAGTGATATATTGCATTTGGTTTGGCTACAACTGCTGAGACCCATAAGTACTTTCATTTAAAACTCGCATACTTAAACTACACAACACTACAATACTCTACACAGGTTTTTATTTATTTATATTGCCTACGAAATTTAATAATGCATACATGCGTAATTTACATACAAACCCTACGATGAAAGCTTAGTAAAGACTGTATCATTATTATCTAAGTACTACTAACCTAACCTATAATAAATACCTATTTATCAAATAAGATCCAATCCCCTGACAAGGCAGTGAGAGAGTAGAAATGCACATCAAATACACAACGTCGCATCCTTATATCCTGGCATTAATTTTGCACTTAGTTACGTAACGTGTGTAAGTGTGTAAAATATTAAATATAGGTACCTATTAGAGAAGAGAATGGTTAAAAATTGAGATCTAATATTCTTTTTCATAACTTCAAACACAGTTTTAAACCTGTCCCGTAATAAAGGTGCACAGTATGGCACATAGTTGTTAGGATAAACGCACAGACATGCACATTGCACAGCGCCTAGTGCGCATAGGTACTGGATACTTACTTGCACGTTGACAAGTGTAGTCTTGTCAGTAGTGTGTCATTGTGCAATGTTATTGTCATTTTAAGTTACAATAAATATCTTACTACTAGCTGAAATTTCTTTTCTCAGCTTTTAAACTTTCACGAACATTTCAAGACCAAGTTTAGCCAAATCGGTTCAGTCGTTCTCGAGTTTTAGCAAAACTAAACATTGAATAATAGATAATTAAAATTGATTGAAAATAGATAAACAGTTTAAAGTCTTAATATTTTCTTTTGCCATTAATGCCACATATTTTATAACTAGCGACCCGCCCCGGCTTCGCACGGGTGCAATATATATGCATCTATTATACATATAAACGTTCCTTAAGAATCACTCGTATCTATTAAAAAAAACCATAGAGCAACACGGGCCACCGGCGGAATGAAAAAAACGCATCTTTAGATCTAAACATACATAGGGACAGACAGATGGCGGATAGCGACTTTGTTTTATACTATGTACACCAACTTCTTTCTAGTCCTATTTAAAAGAAGGTTAGTCATTTGGGTAAGTCTATCCATAGATATTTCAGATATGGCCTCCATTATATTATGGCTACTAGAGATTTTTTTAAGATTTCTTTGTCTGACTCGGATATTGAATGGTGCACCTGAGACCTGAAATCCGTTCGGGAATAACAAGACAGATTGGAACGTAAAATGAAAATGTGAGAAATACAGTAATTTAAAATACAATAATTTAAAATGAAAAATATAATAGGGAAATAGTATTAATTCAAATAACGTAGGACTAGGTATACTATTGAATTAAAATAAATACGTACCTTTGTATAAAAAATATTGTGAAACATACAGCATACCTACTAAATTAATCAAAAATGCTGGTCTATCCACGTAAACAATTCGAGAAGCAACAGATAGTCACCGTGTCCGCGCCTGCTGCTCATGAGGAAGAGTTACAGAGCTTTTCTTAGTATATTCACGTGAGTGAACCGGCATTATTAATTAATTAAAATACGTACCTATACCTACGGCTGCCTCGTTGGCCGAGTGGTCGCAAGTGCGGCTGCCGGGCCAAAGGGTAAAAGTATTACTGGGTTTAAAATAAATCTCAGTAGTAGCACGGAGTCTGGAATTATGCCCGGTTCACCTCTATTACATGGGACACCCACCCACCCAATGTAACACCCACTTTTCACTATTTATGTTATGAACATAAATAGTGAAAAGTGGGTGTTACATTGTACAGTGGCATAATGTATCTACACCTCTGACTACCCCTTCGGGGATAAAATATTATAGAGGTATTCTGGTATGGGGTTATACAGATTATTACCAAAATTTTTGTCGAACAAAGGTGGAAATGAACAGTAATTAAAATGTTTAACTTTTAATTCCGAATGACGCCCGCTGTAAATCTAAAACTGAAAAAAAAAACAAAAAAGAAACGTGCTGGACCTAATTTTCTTTTTTTAATTATCTTATTTTATTCGTTTATCTCGTTCTAATCATCAAATTATACGCAATAATAATATTATTTTAGACACAATGATATCAAATTCATAGAATATAGGAAATGTTTTCAAGTTTGACTCAGAATTAGTTAATATGCTTCTCTGACACAAAAATTTACTATGACATTCTGCTGTGTGTGTACTTTTTTAAAAATGGTTTGTTCTCCGACCCCATACGAGATTATGGTCTAATAATAAATCACCTGTATACTTATTAATCGGTTTGTATTTAAACAAAAATTGTACTTATTTTCATCTTCATTGTTCTGTCACTGACGCCACTATCGTCATGATATTGCCATCTCTCTCTGTCAATCGTGACGTACGACCTATGCGCACAACGCACATTGCTGCGCGTTCCGTCCCCTCTAGATTGCTCCAGATAAGCCGCCAGTGTTACCAGTGCGTGGAAAATGAACTCCACAGCAAACCATCGTAAATATTACATTAAATACATTACCATGCTTCGAATATACATTTCTTAAGAATTGTCTTTATTAGCAACATCTTTTTAACGTACTCGTATCTTGTAATTAAAATCTTATAAACGTTTGTAGTCACGTCGATTCACAATCTTGCTTTAAAAATCTACGTAATTAATGCTTCAGATACGGTGTTACATTTAGATAATTAAAAATGTATTTTACTATAAATTGCACTGTAAAAAGTGAACTTCCCTAAGTTGGGAACAATTTTCTACGTTGGTATCACTAATGAAATAGAATGAGATCTCCTATCTCTTTTCCTTTCCACGAGCTCTCTGATTGGCCAAATAACACGTTCCATCCCTTCCTAAATGCTCGAGATAAGTTTATGATGAAGCTAGTGTATGAAAAAAAAATTCCACAAAAAGCCACGTCAAGAAAAAACATCATAGTTATTGGTAAACCTATGTCGATAAAATTATAACCGATGCTCAATTATTGAACAGATAAATTCAAAACATTTAGATAGTAGATTCTTTTCTTGATATTTATAATTATAAAAAATCATAGTTAAAATATATTAAATACCTTAATTCTATTTTCTAATTATCTCAATGAAAACAACATAACCTGTTAGGATGTGTTGTTGAATTAAATAAATAAATAAACATAAATCAATATCTAAATCTTAGTAAAATAAAATAGTACGTAATTACTCTAACAACGAAAATGCTGAAAGGTAGGTAAAAACTAGTACGAAAAGTTGTTAATTAATTCTTACAATTAAGCGTAATTAACTGCACTATTAAATACAAATATGTTTATGTAACTTATGATTCTACCTACACTTTATTTTACCCAATTTCGTTTAACTATAAACTCCCCAAAGTCGGGGAAATTTTCTACGTTGGTATCTCTAATGAGATAGAATATATTGTCTATCTCTTTCCCACAAGTCCTCTGATTGGTCAAATAAGTTTGACATTTCTGGCAATATCTGGAATGTTCTGTCGATTCTGGACTGTGATTGGTAGATTCTCATGACATAGACGGCTCTGGAAATCTCTCGAATCTGATTTGTTGAGTATATAAGAGCCGAGCACTCGGCGGGAAGTCAGAATTATTTGAAACGCGATACAAAGCAGACGAAGAGAGTTCGGTGCAAACCGAGGAGTTTGAGTTTACTAGACTCGCAACGCAAGTTTATTCAACGTTATTGTTATTATTATTGAGTGTGAAGAGAATCTAAAGACAAAATGCCAGCCATTGGAATAGATCTGGGTACCACATACTCGTGTGTCGGCGTGTGGCAGCACGGCAACGTGGAGATCATCGCCAACGACCAGGGCAACCGCACCACACCATCCTATGTGGCCTTCACGGACACGGAGCGCCTCATCGGAGACGCAGCCAAGAACCAGGTCGCCCTCAACCCCAGCAACACGGTGTTTGACGCCAAGCGACTGATCGGAAGGAAATTCGACGACCCCAAGATCCAGGCAGACATGAAGCACTGGCCCTTCAGGGTGGTCAGCGACTGCGGCAAACCGAAGATTCAAGTGGAGTTCAAGGGCGAAACTAAACGGTTCGCGCCCGAGGAGATCAGCAGCATGGTGCTGACGAAGATGAAGGAGACGGCGGAAGCTTACTCGGCAGACAGTAGCGACGCGGTGACAGTGCGGCGTACTTCAACGACTCTCAGCGCCAGGCCACCAAGGACGCGGGAGCCATCGCCGGGCTGAACGTGCTCAGGATCATCAACGAGCCCACAGCCGCTGCGCTCGCGTACGGCCTCGACAAGAACCTCAAGGGCGAGAGGAACGTCCTCATCTTCGACCTCGGCGGCGGGACGTTCGACGTGTCGATCCTGACCATCGACGAAGGTTCGTTGTTCGAAGTGAGGGCGACGGCGGGCGACACGCATCTCGGAGGCGAGGACTTCGACAACAGATTGGTGAACCATCTCGCGGACGAGTTCAAGCGCAAGTACAAGAAGGACATGCGCATGAATCCTCGCGCACTGCGCCGCCTCCGCACAGCCGCCGAGCGCGCTAAGCGCACGCTGTCGTCCAGCACCGAAGCCAGCATCGAGATCGACGCGCTCTACGAGGGAATCGACTTCTACACTCGCGTGACCCGCGCGCGCTTCGAAGAGCTCAACGCAGACCTGTTCCGAGGCACCCTCGAGCCGGTCGAGAAGGCACTCAAGGATGCCAAGATGGACAAGAGCCAGATCCACGACGTCGTCCTCGTCGGAGGCTCGACCAGGATCCCGAAGGTACAGAGTCTACTGCAGAACTTCTTCTGTGGCAAGAAGCTGAACCTGTCCATCAATCCGGACGAGGCAGTCGCGTACGGCGCGGCCGTCCAGGCGGCCATCCTGAGCGGCGAGCAAGACTCGAAGATCCAGGACGTGTTGCTGGTGGACGTGGCCCCTCTGTCCCTCGGCATCGAAACCGCCGGCGGCGTGATGACGAAGATCATCGAGCGCAACAGTAAGATCCCGTGCAAGCAGTCGCAGACGTTCACCACGTACTCGGACAACCAGCCGGCGGTCACGATCCAAGTGTACGAGGGCGAGCGAGCGATGACCAAGGACAACAACCTGCTGGGCACGTTCGACTTGACTGGCATCCCGCCCGCGCCACGCGGCGTCCCTAAGATCGACGTCACATTCGACCTGGACGCGAACGGCATCCTCAATGTGTCTGCCAAAGAGAACAGCACCGGCCGAAGTAAGAACATCGTGATCAAGAACGACAAGGGACGCCTGTCGCAGGCCGAGATCGAGCGCATGCTCGCTGAGGCCGAGAAGTACAAGGACGAGGACGAGAAGCAGAGGCAACGAGTAGCGTCTCGAAACCAGCTCGAGTCGTATGTGTTCAGCGTGAAGCAGGCGCTGGACGAGGCCGGAGACAAGCTCACGGAACAGGACAAGAGCACGGCGAGGGACGCGTGCGACGACGCGCTCAAGTGGCTCGACAACAACACGCTGGCGGAGCAGGAGGAGTATGAGCACAAGCTGAAGGACGTGCAGCGCGTCTGCTCGCCCGTCATGGCCAAGATGCACGGGGCGGGCGCAGGTGCACAGAATGCAGGCGGTATGCCTGGTGGCATGCCCGGAGGTATGCCAGGAGGTATGCCTGGCGGTATGCCCGGTGGTATGCCCGGTGGTATGCCCGGTGGAATGAGCGGTGGAATGCCTGGTGGCTTTGGAGGCATGCCTGGCGGATACGGAGGCTACCAGCAGCGTAGTGGGCCAACTGTGGAAGAAGTCGATTAACTGTGAGATCGTAGATCAACTGTACCAGTACCAGAATCTTGATTGTGATATTAAGTTTAAGACTGATTAATTTATTTATTCTGCCAGCACATGATCTGATTATCCTCTGTTGAATTATGTCTAAATGTGTTCCTAATTTTAGTGTTAAGTATGTAAAAATAAAAATATAAGAAGTAAATATAATTGAAATTGTTTTATTTATCACAAATATTTCCAAACACAGCAGCTAGAGTTAACACCTATCATGCATACTACTAATGCCTCAAAATGTAGGCACTATTTGCAGTCTAGTTCATCTTTCAACTTGTAAGTTCTGCTCTAAAACACATGACCTAGGTCTGTGATATTGTTAACACAACAATATGAAGCCAGTTAGGACTTATGACAGACGTAGATGTAGGTAGCAAGGTGAATAAAGTGTGCTTAGGATTAGGACTTACTTAAAGAATACAACTAAGTACCAAGGGATGACTTAAAAAAATAATATATATTTCATAGTTTTAAGTACATAAACTAACATATAATACTACTTTGCGACTATTAATATATACAACTTAAAATATAAAACAATAATTGAAAACTAAAATATTTAAGTACACCTTAAAAAAATTATAATAAAAATAAATCATAAGGCATCAAAGGAAACATTTTCCACATCGCTACCGTGAGGAAGGGTGCCCAAAAGACTGGCAGCATTGCCACGTTGAATGGCAATGCTTAACCTTTGCCCAAGGTAGTAGCCACTAGCCAGCCCTTCGATCACCTGAAGTGTCAACCATCCTCCTTACAATGTCTTTGTAAAGAAGATGTGCACTTGGGCCCCACGGCCCTAAAGTCTCAAGTACCAAGTATTTAGGTACTTAAAGTATTTAGGTATCAGTTATTTTACTTTTGTACTTAAGCTTAAAAATATATATTCTCAGATATTTGTGCTAAAATATTTTAAGAGTATAAGAATTTTTTTTATAAATATATAAAATTTAAATTAAATTTTATTTTAAATAAAATTATTTATAATAAATTAAAATTTATTAACAATATAAATCATAAAAATTTTAATTCAAGTCTCATTTGTATAAAGCGCCTGTCATAATTCTCCGAGCAATGTTACACTGTTCATCGTATTATTGCTCAATAGGTTTGGGTACTGCATTTCGTTGTTAAAAATTATGAGTTTGTGACATTAATAGAACCAAACACGCAACAAAACCATCTCTTTACTTCAGAAATGAAGAGTTAGTTTATTTATCTATGCGGATTTATGCCTGAGGAGGTACTTTCTCTCAGTGGTAAAGACACAGGGCATGATAAATCAGAATTAAGTTTTACATTGGCTATCTACCCTCAATCAGTGATATTTATGCGGCGCTCTTAGAATTGCTTAATGCTATACTGTATAGCCTCTATACTCTATACACATACAACTTCTCGCCATTGTCCCATTTTGGTCGCGGACTTTATAAAATGCCACCTAGTACTTAAACAGTCTTCGACTCGTTTCCTTCCTCTTGATACTAAATCACTTAATTAGGATAAAGTATTACCTATCTATTAAAATAACATTTTAGTGTAACAACTGCCTCGTTCGCCGAGTGGTCGCAAGTGCGACTGCCGAGCAAGGGGTTCGGTGCAGTTCCCGGTATATGGCAATAAGCTCGCCCCCTATAAAATAAATAGTGCATAGTGGGTGTTACATTGGCATTTAGTGCCGTAATGTGCCCAGCTCTGTCTAACCCTGTCTGATAAAAGGTTTTATGTTACGTATGTTCGTAAAACTGCTTACACCGGGAATTAATTACAAAACGGCATATAAACAAGTTTCCTTGTCATAATCTTTACATCACATAATCCATTGTTAGAAATGTCCAACGTAGAAGAACAGACGTTCTACACAGTCTAAAAAGTATAAAAGCCGATCACAATCGTTATCAGCATGTCACAGATGATTTCCTTTAAAGATAAGAAAAAGATTTTATTCAATTCGATTTGATAGCTTAGTGACAGAATGATAATATTTAATTAATCGTAAACACGCGATGACGTGGCATTACCTAGGGTCTTTATCACACCCTACCTCAAAAACACACCAATGATTGTGGTGTCGTCATCAAATTTTACTGCAGTAAAATAAATTAATCATAGATTATTGTTATATCGTAGTTAGCAACAGATAATTATTTCATATCGTGATTCTTTACACCTGAATATCGGTAGTGATAAATAACTTCTCTTGTATGACGTATACCTATTACCAACCTACTCAATGAGATTTGAATTTCCACATTTTATGACAATTTAATTTATGATACTGTTTTGTGAGATTCTGGCTTTGGATTTGTGCAACATAAAAGATATCTAAATGAAACTAAATATGGTAATCGTATTTGGCAATTAACTGAAATCTATCACGTTTTTTGATAAATTAGGCTTCTGTAAATCTGCCGATACCTACTTCGTCGTAATTATTTATATTTAAGTAGTTTCTTAGAATAATGTATACTATACAAATTAATTTTGTTGACATGTCGCAAATATCGAATGCCAATAATGCCGTCTTAGGTAAAATGTATTAGCCATTTATTTTCCAAATGTAAACGACCCAACAAACAAATAAATATGAAGGACATTACAAACTTCAAAAATCAATGAACTTTATCAATAAATACGGTTATTTGTTGACTGACTGGGTCTGACTTATCTTTATTTTACGAACATCATGGATTTTTATTGACGCCCTAAAATTTTACTTGAGCTTAAACATGCTATAAAATAAATCGACTCGTAGACTTTTAACAATGACAAAATAGGGAAACTCACAGAATTTTGTCATCATACTAGGTATGATATTTATTTATCAATATGTTATTCAGACAACTGAGCAATAAACCTTTGTTCGAGTCTACGAGACTGAAATAACAAAAGGCATCATATTTACCATCACCCCAAGCGGTAATTATTAGGGGGAACGAAATCAACGTACTTATAGTATGAATTAACGTCTACTGAAGGACAAAGTAATATTATCCTGTCTATAGTAATTCTAATCGTCCATCATATTAATTACTAGTACTACAAACAACACACTCATCATGATGTAATCATCATCATCATTTTCTATAATTCTTAGGGGACAGCGCGTACGCAGTCCCCACTACCAAAAATAACGCGTCCGAGTTATCCACATTAGGGATAATCGCAGGGGTCAACCCTATCGCAGTGCAATGATAGGACCTCGCCCTGGGGGAACCGCCTTCTTGATCACGGTGTCCCCTACGCCAGGTAAGTATGAATTTCGGACGGCGAACCGCGAGGGTCGTTCAACGCCGGAGAATCTTAACACCGCGATTCACAAATATGACGTCATTGCACAGCGCCATCTAGTAACGAAGTAAGAAACTTAGGGTCCGGCTAAAAATAGAACTGGTTTGTTCATTTGTAGTGGAAAAACTCCACGCGCCGCCGCCGCGGTATGTTCTAAGAGACTAAAGTAAAACAGTGTTGTTTAGCCATAATCAAATGAATTCAATACTACAGAGTTCACAGAAATTCATAGCTGAAAGCTTACTTCCTTCCTTCAGTAAGAGTATTTATATTATGACATTCTTTTGCCATGGTAGATACCGTACCGCTCTAACTGCTCAGTCAAACACGTGTTATTTTAATGTGCAGCCAACAGTATTGATTAATTACATCATAAAACTTTATCTTTTATAGCAAAACAGATTTTTGGTGTTCAATGCAAAGTCCTATTTTATTTGCTTCATGTAACTATTTATAAAAAACATTGTGTATCTAACTTCATTTTGTTCCTGAAACTGAACAGCCACGTGCGTGCAAATTCTAATTGAATAAGTAAACTGAAAATCTCAATTATTTCGAACCCAAGAACGTCTCTGCACAGTTACCGAACGTCTGCAACCGAAGAGACTGAACTGTAATTATCTAATTAATACTTTATTAATAAGTAATTTAATACAATATAAATCTTGTCTAAGTATTTGTCTACCACTTAGGTAGAACTCAAAACCCTACTTCATCATAATACGTTCAGTAGTTTCAGCGAGATTGACGGACAAACATCTAAACAAAGAAACTTTGACATTTATAATATCAGTGTTATATCTGAAAGTTACAAACTTTTCTATAGAGGTAAGTTCTAACCCTGAGATCTGAAATCCTTGTTTGTTATGGTCTAGTCGCAGCACTATATTCATTTTTAAAGACATGTTCATTGAAGTAATTAATGTGCCATAAAGTAGCAATCAAATTTACGGACCCGCTGATAGTATAGTTAGCACTTTAGCCTGATTACATTTACAACCAGACCACTGAAAAGGTGGGATGATGACATCAGGCGAGCGGGAGTTATGTGGAACAGAGCGGCCCAAGAAAGACAGGAATAGAAAAGGTTGGAGGAGGCCTTTGCCGATTGGCAAATGGATCTGCAAAATGTAAGCAAGCAACAAATACTAGTTCTTAGTTACCTACCATGTATTTGCATGTTCTGAATATATAGGCGTATTTATTTGTACATTTACAACACCAAGCACATCACTAGTGCGTCGCCGGTCGACAAACCCAAAACAATATGTTGCATCAGTGCCAATGGCTCATCTGCCTGTTCTAGTCTTTTTTTTTTTTTTTTTTAATGGGGGGGGAAAATCATCGAATGACTGCCCCCGCCTGGGTGAGGCGGGAGGGAGTGTCAGACTCTTACTGACTAAAAACCACCCCGTTCCTTCTCCTGCACGTCGAGCCGGAGCCCCGGTTACCCGTTAGGTTCTCCGCGACTCCGAATCGGCATCGGCCCTATTGGGCCCCATCTGTGGTGGTCTGATGGCTCTTTGAGGCGCGCGCGGAACGCGACGCGCCGTACGCTCGGGTCTGTTTCTGGTCGGACGGGGAGCCACCCATGCTCGCCGTCCGCAGGCCCGCGCTTACGGTGGCCGGAGATCGTCCCGCGATCCCCGACGCCCGGTGTGTCCTTCGCGATGGCTGGGTTGCGAGGAGGCAGCGCTTCGCTGCGTCACGCGTCCCGCCTCCTCCTTAGCTAGCATGACTGCTTCGCAAAAGGAGGAGACGGCATCCCAATCCCCCTCGCTCCGCATCATGGCCTGCACTAGGCCCGGACGCGAGAGGTCGCCATCGCCGATCACTTCCCTGAGGACACGGCGGTGCTCAGCCCACGAAGGGCATTCTCCCACCGTGTGTTCCACCGTGTCCTCAGGGCGGTCCTCGCAGTGATGACACCCGGGCGTTTCCTCCCGCCCCATCAGACACAGGTACCTCCCGAAACTGCCATGTCCGGTGAGGACCTGCGTCAGGCGGTAGGTGAGGACGCCGTAGCGTCTCTCAAGCCACTCCTCAAAGAGGGGACTTACCGCTGCGATGGCAGCGAGCCCAGCCCTCGGTTGCGACAGTCGTTGCTGCCATTCCGCCATGAGATCGCGGCCTGTTCTAGTCTAGGACGACGTCATCACCAAGAGACATAGCCCTTTAAATAAAAAAAAAACATTGTTCTGGTCAATTTCTGTGAACTGCTTCATGCTGGATATCTCACCCACACGCACGAAGCGTTGCGCCTGAAGTTTTGTCATAAAGTCCTAGATTTCTTTGCCTGAATCTATATTCATGTTACCCCAAGAGTCTTCAAGGCCATAGGCAGGTAAACTCCAATGTAGTCATTGCAATAAGATGGTGGCCAATAGAAAAAAACCACATGGTTGCTTTAAATGGTACGATTCCCAATGAAATAGGGCCCATTGTCTCCATCGTGGGCTGAAGGTAACTTCGATCATACGGTGACGTGACATTCAGTTGTAGTTCAGTCTGCCTGACAGTAACATCGTCTCATTAACAATTATGAGATTTATCTAATCATTAAGTATCACCTAATATCACTTCGATTAGTCGATAAGTCATACCTTTGTCCGTCTGTGCAGTGTAGTGAACGTGTGTACTTATAATGAACATTACAATAATTTCAGCACTAATTCTGTGAAAGTGATTGCGTTTTAAAGTCATTTTAAAAAAATGGGTGAACTACAGAAGCAGAAGAGGGAGAGGTTTTCGCCGTTCTGGAAACAGGTTTGTTTATTTTATTTTATGAAGTTTTACTGGAAGGCTCGGTCATATTTTTACCTTTTTAAGGATTTTTTAAAAATCTGATCTTCGAATATACTATAATTTTAAACAATTAAGTGAAAATTCAGGTAACACAGGAAAATACGTACGTATAATGCGCTGAAAAAAAATATTTTATTTCAATTAATTACCAAACATTATATAGCCAAATTACTCAGTAGAAATTTAAAATTAATTATGCTGACAACTGAAGCAAAAGTTCAAGTACGTACGTAACGGTTTGTTTTTAATATTTAACTTTAGAATATGTATTAACAAATTACAATTACTATTCAAAAATATTAAAATGACAATGAACATGATTGCATCAATGTACAAGCTAAAAATAACACTATAATCGACTTCGAGGGTCACCTGATGACCGACGTTAGCGAATTTGTCTTCAAAAGTTTTCTATTCAATCAAAAATTAGTTAAAAGTATATGACCTAGTATTACATAGGCCTCATAGCTCATGAAGAGGACGTGTCACATGGGACTCATACATAAACAACTCGAGTTACATAGTACATAGTACCTACTTATTCATATGTGCACTTCTAACTCTGTCTATCTCTGTCTAACCTAATTTTTTCATCCAATAACGACACTGAACTGTACTGTAATGCTCAATTAGCTTTCGATTCAGTTAATAGTTGGCTTTGTTCTAATATACTAGCACTAAATGCGGAGAAGACAAAATTTATTCACTTTTCTATGCGCAAGAATCCAATTGCCACTGTTACACCCCAATTATACGCACATAAATGTAGAATTAGTCCACTGGGCACATGCAACTGCCCTTGTATACTAAAAACTACTTCCATTAGATATCTAGGCATCACAGTTGATGAAACTCTTTGTTTCAAACAACACATCAGCGCTTTGGTTGCACGTGTCAGGAAATTGATGTACATTTTTAAAAAAATTAGACAAATCGGAGATGTTAAACTAATCACTCAAATCTACCTAGCGTTATGTCAGTCAATTATCCAGTACTGTGTTACTTCTTGGGGTGGCGCATCAAAAACTATTATACTCCCTCTAGAACGTGCTCAGAGAGCCATCCTAAAAGTTGCATTTTCCCATCCCTTTCTCTTTCCTACATCGATGCTATATAGATCCTGCAAAGTTTTAACTGTTCGCCAAATCTATGTAGTACAGCTAATACTCAAACAACATTCACTACTCAGCTTCAATATTAATAACCTTACTAACAAAAGGCGGAATGATATAGTTTGCACTTCAACCTCAGTGTCAAAACACGCTTTTATAAAAAGATTCTTTATCTTTCTTGGCCCATTTTTATACAATAGAATAAATAGAGATTTAAGTATTTATAGCCTCAATCACTTTCACTGTAAAAAACTATTACATAATTATGTACACACCTTAACATACGATCAAACCGAAGAATTACTTGAAGTAAGCAAATAATTTTATTATAGTTGACTTAGATTATTTTTGCTTACGTTTGTTTATGAAACTGTACACGCGCACCTGTTATACTTAGAGACTAGCTTAATTTAATTTAGACATAAAAAAATTTAGTTTTATAAGCAATATTATTGTATTTTAAATATTTCAGTACATTTTTAACCTGAAACACAGGCTTGGACCTAGTTCAGGTTTCACATATTTTTAGACTTTGTTTAGATATTAAGATTTATTTTGTAACCTGGCTTTTTACACGAAATAAACATTTTATTTATTTTATTATTTATTTATTATTATCTGTTTCTTCAGGTATTAGAACTATTAAAACCCAAGACGTAACGCTAAGTTAAGCCATCATTAATGCCTTAAAACACCATCATTAATCCATTCTAAAACATGTAAACCTTTAAGCGAAAATATGTCCTTTTGACATCATAATTTCCGTCGCCGACATTCTGCATTGTTTGTCTTTACTAATCTGCTAATTAGCTTTATCTGTATCTGTGGTAAGAATTTCCTTCGTCATAATGATTTTCAATGACAAACGGGGCTATGTGACCAGTGGTACTGTTGCTTAGCTGTCCAGGGGGTGTTGAACGTTTTTTGCTATAGGCAACACTAGAGGAGTGGCCGGCCTTTTGGGGGTTAGAAATATGAGGACAGGGGTGATTGTAGCCCTCCCCAATCACCGGAATTGAGCATCCGATAACCTCACTCACATGGCTTAAGGGATCTTAGAATTCGGATCGTCTTCTTTTTCATTGCCTTCATTGCTGAAGATCATGTCCATCTTGTAGTTGACACGTCCGAATAGAGTGGTTGACGAGCTTATTTCATACCATTACGTCTTCAACAGTAGTAATAGTAAGTTCCGTTATTGTCTTGATCTAGTTACAGGTTTTCAACGGGTAGATTCCGGTAGAACGACCACGTGGTATCTTTCCGTTCATTTTTCCCACTACAATCAGTTTTTCGTAATTATCTGGCTGTCTTTGGGCGTGAACAGAGTAATTAGGAGCCGCTGATAGCATATTCTGGAGAGCCTAACGTGACAGTCACTATGCTTGTGTCTTCTAACTACTTTTTTCGCTATCGGGTTCAGTGTCAATGGTATTGAAATAATAATATGAATAATAAACGAGTCGATCAATACACGTGCCATATCTGTATCATCAATCAACGATAGTGCACCAATTCAGCATCATCAAGTAAATTGTTTTAATATTCTTTGATATTCCTGCATCATCGATCATCGATTCAACGTCATCAAATGACCTTATTTAAGTAAATCATTGAACAATTCTTTGATACTCCATGTAAAAAATAATAAACCGAAAGAAATACTTTGTAATAGAACTACTCTATAATAGTATATTACATATAGTCGCCGCGACCGCGCACGCTGCTCATGAGGAAGAACCCCTCTGTGGTTCGAAACTAGTAGAGCTTTTCTCAGTATATTCACCCGCGATTTTTAGTTAAAAAAGATAAACTCTTTCCAATGTTTAAACGTGTAGGCAATTGATGTATAGAATTTATCTATAAGTGCTATTGTTTCTCATGTACTTACCTATTTGTTAATTGCGCAAAAGATAATCTTACAACAGCTAAACTAATGAAGATTGATCGTTGAATGCTACTCGTGTCAATATTTATTTTGTATGGACACTTACCTATTGTAATCTGTACACGTTTGTATTCGGAAAATTCTGTCGTAAATATTATAACATCTTGTCGTTTTTCCCCGATGTTAGGGACACGTGGATATGAATTGTTATTTTTCCACGATGATCGTAGCTCGTACGTGCTTAACAGAGTCAAACTTCGTATAGCTAGGTTATTTAAATAAAAACAAAGACATAGCATGCACAATGAATTTAATATTAGGTAAAGGTATAGGTTTTTTTTAAGGGGAGAAAATCATCGAATGCCTTCTCCCTCCTGGGTGAGGCGGAAGGGAGTGTCAGACTCTTACTGACTAAAAACCACCCCGTTCCTTCTCCTGCACGTCGAGCCGGATCCCTGGTAACCCGTTAGGTTCTCCGCGACAATCGGCAAAGGTATAGGTTTAGCTTTTCGTTACGAAGAGTCGTGGTGCTCCGCAGGTTTAAGACGGCCCGCTTCTCATGCATGCGGGTGATGGTTCAAAAGCTACCAACAGCAAATACCAACTTTTTATATGTACTTTCTAAGATTATTTAGACACTACTGAAAAACATCGTGAACAAACTTGGGCTTATAATATCTAATTACAAGTTTGAAACAGCCAACCTGCATTGAGCAAGCGTGGCGATTAATGGTGAAACCTTCACCATGTGTGAAGAGGCCTTTGGTCAGCAGTGGCCACTTATAGGCTGTTGATGTTGTTGTATACATTTTTAAATACACGACTTTTTACCCAATGAGGGCAGATGGAATCACTAAGTGCTACCAAATAAGATCCTTACACACTTCTTTAGCTACTACCACACGCCCATACATCTGTTCATATAAGCTCTACTACTTTCATGAAACATTTCCAGGATCTCCCTTTTGGTATCTATTAAATTAACGCCCTCTTTGAACAGTTAAGTAAAGTCGTGTCGTCCGTTAAGGTAGAATATGCATGCATCTCTTGAATCTGTCAGATAAATAATGTATTTGACCAAATATTTAAAGGTATTATATCAACCATGATAAAATTAGGAAGCAGTTGTTAACATGTCTCATGGAGAGTTAATGATGTGTCTATTATGGATTTGGCTCGGAAAATTTGGTTGTTTTGCGAATATGTAGCTATAGATATAGTTTAGATAACAATGACTAACCTACTATTATTAGTTTTATGTAAATATAAAGGACTAGACTAAAACACTTAGGTATTTTCATAAAAAAGATTATCAACGTTTCAGTAGATGAAATTACGAAAACTGTAAACCAAAATCTACATATATATAAAAATGAAACCAGTGTCCCGTTGTCACGCCATACCTACCTTGAGAACGGCTTGACCGATTTGGCTGATTTTTTTTTATTTTCTTTGCTATTGTCAGAAAAAGGTTCTTAAGACAGAAAAAAACCTTAACATCCTATGGGAACGGGAGGAAACGGGATTACGCGTACGAAGTCGCGGGCAGAAGCTAGTAGCTAGCACGCATTGTAATTATATATGTACTCAGAAACACCTTGTCGGTAATACTTTTGTTATTTAAATACTTACGACTACTTGTAGAAAACACAATAAAGATATTGTTAATCCTAATTAATCTAAGCTATTAAATACCAATGTTAGTATGTTTATTGCACTTTTACGTGTGAACGGCTGGAACGATTTTGATGCATGTTGTTATAGTGATAATTACGACTACGGGCGGAGTAGGTACTAAGACACTGTTATAAATTGATTTAAGAAATTATTTTTAAATACAAAATGAGCTGTGTATTAAACTATGCCATGAGTCCTATGTTCGATCTTAGAGTCTCATTATCGCATATGTCAAATGCCGAAAAACTCAATAATCACGCTTAATAGATCCATTCAGAGATCAAATCGGTTATTATTTGCTCAACAATCACGCCTGCGATCACTTGACCATCGACGTACTTATTTACTGATAGTGATAAGTGATAGCTACGTATTAAAAATAATGTGGCCGTCAATCTGTGACATTCACAAGATAAACGATATATTAGTAGCCGGTTAACATCTAACTTTGTGTCCCAATGCGTGTTATCATGAATCAAAATTAATAGATGTGGTGATAAGATGTTATCACTAGAGTACGGTGTTATCATTTATATCCTTATATCCCAAGGCAGTAGATAATGCGTCATTTGTAACATTTATCGTAGTCAACGATCTGGTGTGTTAGTAATTTTGCACGTTGTTCGAGTTTGCTATTTAGTTGTTATGTCAGACTTTAATTTTACACTGGACATGATTGATTGAAAAAGAGTAACCTATGGAGTTTCCTGCTCGTTCTTCTCTATAGGAATCTACACCTTGGAATGAGCAAATTGCTTCACATTTAATTTTTTTGTTGACGTTAAAAAGTGCCTTTCTGATCTAATTGATATATATTATTTTGACTTTTGACTTTTATCAGTTTAATAAATTCAATTCTCATTTGAAATTTTTGTTTGCTCTTTCTTCGACATGCCTTTTTCGATCTAACTTTTATATTAGACCCTTACAAGATATATCCTTTCATTTTATTTATTTAAGTTTCATAATTGCATAAGGACGACTTTATGCTCACAGTATTCTCCGTCAGTCATCCTTTGGGTAGTGCAGAAATGTACGTGGTAGGTGGTAAGCTGGAAAAATGTTAAGAAAGAGCCTTTTAATTATCAAAAATGCCAACTTTCTTCTCTAGTTTACTCTTACCTTTTAAAATAATGAATTCTAAGTTCCTAAGTCGGCTAGATGTTACTCAACGACCTAGGTCTTGAACAGTGCGCAATTATAGAAGCCTACGTTTTAATTAACAAGTAATCAGATTAGGTACATATCTAATCAAAAGATGGTAATTACAATTTTAATCATCGCTTTTGTAATAAAACATAATTTATAATCTAATAACGTATTTAATATATAATCTCTCGAACGAGTTCTATCTTATCGATCGATATATATATATATATATATATATGCACTTGGAATAGAATAGCACTTCACCTTTGTAAAGTCGGTTAAGGTTGCTGTATTTTTGTTGTTTTAATTACACAAAGAATAGTACCCATGTATAATATCAGTAGCAAACGATATGCTTTGATTTGTGATTGCAAAATGCCAAAGTTTGAAGTCCACATTCGATAATAGTTTACAGCTTTAATAGTATCGTGCATAGAGGGCGCATTTGTCAATTTAGAGGATGCAGGTGTTATTGCGTTCACACGTTGCAAATAAACTCCTAGACTAACATAAACAGAGTATTATTGTATGTCCATTCATGTGCACAACACTACCTACTGCTGAGCTTAGCTTTGAACTGGATTAGTTCAGTTTAGAAGTGAATGGAAACTGGTCGATAACTTTATTGATTTCAAAGTCTAAGTATGATATATTGATGATTCCAGGCGTTCGTGACAGCGAGCGTGTCGACAAACATCATAGCTCACGGCTGTGTCATCGGCTTCGCAGCCATCTTGATTCCCAGTCTCCGTCTCCCAGAGTCTCACATACACGCCACACCCAGCGAGGAGTCATGGATAGGTAAGGAATCAAGGATACATAATATTATCCATTATTCGACCAAAACCGCTGACTTTAAGAGTATCTTAAGCGACTGAGCTTCTGTTGTTAAGGCCGTAAATGAAATGAACACGTGTATTTGTGCGTGTTTAGCGTTATCGCTGTTGATTCGTATCGTACCAAACTCGTGTTTCGATTGGTTAATCATGTTTGTATAGCTTACTAACTAAAATATAAGAAACATGTCTAAAATAAATTATTTTCCTTTTTCCAGCATCAATCATCGGTTTCGCGTTAGTCGCTGGCAACATAATCATCACTCCACTCATGGACATCCTCGGAAGAAAGAAGTCACATCTGCTGACCATCTTCCCTGTCCTGACTGGCTGGTTCACGCTACTCCTAGTGCAGAACGTCGCCGGCCTCATCGCCAGCCGGTTTCTCCAAGGTGTAGCCATGGGCATGCTGGGCCCGCTCGGCTCCATCATCATCGGTGAAATGACAGATCCAGTGAACAGAGGACCGTTCCTCACTTGTGTATCGCTGTCACTAACTATAGGAGTACTATTCTGTCACTCATTAGGCACATACTTTAGTTGGCAACAAAGCGCCCTAATATGCTCCTTCATCACCTTTACAAGTCTCTGCCTCATCATTTATAACCCTGAGTCACCGTCCTGGCTCATTGCAAAAGGAAGGATAGACGAGGCAAGGAGAGTCTTCATTTGGCTTCGTGGAGACGGTGATATCCAAATGGATGAACTAGAGAAGATGATAGCTGCTCAGAATATGGCGAAAAAAGCAAGTGTAACTGACCTGAGTCTGTCATTTGGTGCAAGAACAAAACGCTACTTCAGGTATTTAGGAGTGACTATGAGGAAACCAGAATTCTATAAACCTATTACTATAATGGTGTTCCTGTATGTAATGTTCCAATTTGCTGGAATTAATGTCATCAGTTCATATGCGACAGACATCATCAGACAAGTGGTGGGGCCTGAGGCCAACGCTAAACTAATCATGGTAGCTTTAGATATTGAGAGACTGATATGCAACCTGCTTGCTATTTACCTGATGAAGACTATGAAGAGACGAACATTGCTGTTCAGCACTGGCATGATATGCATTTTCTCATATGTTGCGAAAGGATTTTACGTTTATGCAAAAGAGAAAGACATGCTGCCGATACAGGGCCAGTGGTTGCCAATAGCTTTAATAGGAATTTACATGTTTTCATTAACCGTGGGCATATCTTCGATACCGTTTGCAGTGTCAGGGGAGATCTTCCCATTAGAATATCGTGGTTTAGGCAGTGGTATTAGTATTCTTGGTTTGTCTCTCAATTTCTTCGTGGCCCTGAAGTGTTTCCCCGTGTTGACGAACGCTATCGGCCTGTCGTGGACGTACTACCTGTACGCTGGTGTGGTCGCGTTGTGTATGTCAGTCGTCTGGCTCATGTTGCCCGAGACGAAGGACAAGACTCTGCAGGAGATCGAAGATAGTTTCCGAGGACAGACCACTGACAGGAAGAGTTTGGAGCCACTGCAGAATGGCAAGCCGAATGGAGAAACCATGAGAAGGGTCAGTTCTGTCATAATGTACTAGACCGTGTGTTGAACTATTTAACAAATATTCGGACTTAAGGGATAGTTATAATTAGATAGACAATTTAATCAATTTTGTGGCAAAAATCTGGTAGTATGTTTGTGTGTATTATTGTGTTTGTTGTTTGGTTCTCTAGTAATTTAATTGTAGTTATTGTAACTAAGTGTGCTTAATTTATAAATTGTGAAGTTCAAATCTCAGATAAGTAAATAAAACTAATTTCTTTTCCGATCTGTTTATATTTCTCGTAACTACGTATTAACACCTTCAGTGCTCTAGAAGTGCTCCTCTTGACTAGCTCCTCACATGACGGAACCTGATGCAATTTTCCTTTTTGTTTCAAGTTCCACACATGTTTGTCGCGATAGTCTGATGAAAACAATAACTGGATGGTACCAACACAAGATACGCGCAACTCCGGAGCATTGAACGTGTTAAATAAAGCCATTCCTCCCTCCAACTGCGCCGAAGCAGTAAAGCACATCCTGTGATCCCTCGTTCCTCTTCATCTACATTCTACATTCTTCAGTTCCAACATCTTCTCTCCTTCATGAGACTCGTTCTGCCCGATCTCACCTTTAATACCTTTGAAGTGACACTCTATCTCGTACAACGTCTTTCCTTTAGTTTCTGGCAGTAAGTAGTATAAAAATATCCCACAAATGGCAATGCAAACTGCATACACACAGAAAGTGCCACTGACACCAATCTGTTCAAAGGAGAATGGTGCCGTTTTCACCACAACGAAAAACATAATGGAAAGGAACATTCCTGAGATTCCACTTCCCAAACTCCTGTATTCTAGAGGGAATATCTCCCCTGCGATAGCCCAGGGTATTGGTAAGATACCTAAAGTCTTTCCAAAAATGTATATTAGGGTAGGAACAACTGGGGTCCACTTGTACCCATCCGATATGTAGCCGAAATCTCTGAGGTAGAGTAGGATGGCAGTGATGAGTAGGGACACCACACTGATGTTAATTCCAAGAAAGAGGACTGTCCTTCTATTGAGCTTGTTGACGACGACGCACGAAAGGACGGCCGTCACAAATCTGACGACATCTACCATCAACATGCTGACATGTGAGTCAATGGTACCGCCACTCACTTCATTCATCATTGGGACTGTATAGGACGGGACTACTGTCATCCCAGATATTTGAAACAGCACGAACATGAACATCATGATGATTGTTGGTTTGTAAAATTCGGGTTTCCTGACTATCTGTCTATATGCCTGCCATCGAGACCCTCGTCGTGTTCCTGTTGGTTTCTTCTGGCTATTCAGAAGAATCTCTAATTCCTTTTCTGCACTAGGGTCGTATCCTCTAAACCAATGAAAAGATTTCCTACACTCTTCTACAAGGCCTCTGGAGGCTAGGTACGGAGGTGTTTCTGGTGATAGTGTGACCAGGATTAGAGAAAGGACGTAGACACTTCCACAAGCCAGGCCAGCTGATCTCCAGTACAGTAAGGTTCCGAAGACGTGGGCGATTAACATTCCGGTGGCGAAGGAGAAGGCGATGGTGGCGAGGAAGGCACCTCGATGCTTGGGAGCAGAGTACTCAGCTATGGAAACTGGTGCAGCTGCTGCCTGGACGCCCATGCCGAAACCCTGGAAATATCGACATTTGTATTAAATTCGTGGATTCGATTGTGGACTCATAAACATTTAATGGCCATGTATTATGTCTCTACAACCTGTTAAAGGTTTATTAATTGTGTTCTGCCCTCTGGCTAAGACCCTTGAATAAAAATCTATTATCAATTATACTATGAATATCACAAGACTATCACATCTGATCAGTGGCCAGTGTACACGTGACTGCGATGGACATCGAACTGATACCCTTTACACTGACCGGGTCAATTCGCCGCTCATAACTAATATTGGTAGCAATTGATTTTATTGATACACTACATTTATTCTTACCTACAAATTGTAGACCGATAGGAAAATAATAACTAGAATTTGAAAGCAATGTAGGTCGTAGTCGTATTTATTTTATTTGTTACCTACGATTTTGGTTGAGCAAATAGCTTTAGAGATACATTGCAAATTGCTATTATTATTTTTTATGGTATGGTCAAACGAGCAGGCGATTCGCTTGACGGTAACCGCTTACCGTTACCGGATTAACTGTATCTGGGAATACCGGAACATCAAGGAGGTTTCAGATGCATTGTTCTTTTAAAAGGGATAATGCTCTTTTTTTAAGGTATGGAGGTGGTTCACTTCGAAAATACCGTATGAGGAACTTAAACTAAACATACATCCTTAACACCAGAGGAGCCATGATACGTTGTCAGCCTTTAAAAACAAGTTCGCTCTTTGTCTTCAGAATAAAAATCCATGGGACTTACCAGTAAAGATCTGCTGATAAGTAATGCTGCAGGTCCTTTAGCCGTGGCTAGCAGAGCCCAGCCTCCGAGGGTCGGTAGGGAGCTGAGTTGGTTGGTCAGCTTACGGCCCAGCTTCTGCAGACTGAACGGCGCCACCACGATACCGGCGATCAGCGCCAGACCAAGGATCGAGGCTGGAAGGGCGAAGGGGTGTGTTAGTAAAGTGGCAAATGATACAGTATAATTTAGATTTGTTCCACAAATTTTTCTTATGAATTGTTTTTCGATATTTTTACACCTACTAATTTAAAACCTTGTCCAGTATACTGCCCACTATTACCACTTTGATACTGATGGTGGTGGAGTGATTTTAGCGGCCCGATAGTGGCCTCACTAAGTAACCCACCCTCTCTAGTTGTTTTTCAAAAATCTTGGCGCATTTTGAAAGTGTTTCCTAGCCACAGTAGCCACCTAGCCCTAGTAAGATATTTCACAAAATAAATCTCGAGTATTACTTAGAATAGAACTGATTATCTCACATGTTCTGCATAAATAAGCTTATAAGAGAAGTTAATATATTTGCACATTCCTAATATTAGCTATACACTTGACCTTCCTCTTTATTTGTTTAGCTAATCGACTCGTATCTTATCCTAACAGGACATAATTTAGTTAAGCATATTATTGTAGTAGATGAAATAGATACTCAAAATTGGTAAGTATATCGAGAGAAAATACCTAGTACTTATGGAACAATTTCTTTTTAATATAAAAATACATTATACATACGGCTTAAGAGTGGCAGGCTGCCAGGCGAGAATATTCAAGTTGGACAATTATGTTTTCGCACGTATACTATGGATCTTTTAAGGCAAAACGTGGTTTCACATTTAAAACAGGGTTAAGAAAGAACAAATATAAAATGTTATTTGTTAATTAATAGTCAGTGACAATGCCACCACATTTCATCATTACTAGTCCAGCCGTTTATGATAGAAGTTCAGTGACACGCATGTATGTATGTACATGCATACAAATATGAGCAAATAGAAAAGATCGTATGTTACAATTGCATTATTATCTACAAATGGGTTTCTTTACCGTTGTATAATAACGTGCAGTAATGCAAAGCTCGGAGACGTGACTGCCGTAACTGCAGTCGTGAGTGCAATATTGCATTCATCCCCGGCTGCCATTAGATGTAATTGAAGGTTGAACTATGGCTTATGCCTTATGCTTGATGTTTTGAAGTTATTTGATTCTAGATAAAATGATCTTAACATACAGGGAAGGCTGTCAGTCTGTTTGCGACCAAACTGACCGATTCGAAAACTACTGAACGAAATGCAGTTTTCAGAATTGTGCGTGTGTGATTCTGGTAGAAAAGATATACCTAGTTAGTTTAGCGAAGCTCAGCTACGGCTAGGAAGCTCCTAAGTTATTAATGCGGTGCTAATAAAACCTGTACTTAATAATAAAGTACTACACTATCTCGCTTGGTGGTAAGCGATGATGCGGTCTACGATGAAGCACGTCGTCTCATAAGCAACCTGAATGCGTCTCTTTTTACTCCAAATTACTGAGATTTGGACTTTGAAATCTGATGTTTTCGCTCACATGATTCGTAATCATTCTTTAATTGCAATTTTAATAGATAGTCAAAAGTCAACTAAATATTGGTTATCTGTGCTAAGAGGGCAGAGGTGGTCGTCACGTCACTGTTTTATGTCATTAACCGCTAAGTAGTCATTACTTTATCTGTGGTGTATGATTTTTTTAGTTTATTTAGCAAATCTATTTATCTTTGACAAAATTTGTGATTGGTTCGTTATACGGTTCGCTAAACTACGGAACGTATCTTGATCGATGTCGTGGTGGCCCGGAGGTTGAAGACGCCTGCTTCTCATGTACGAGTGCGGGTTCGTAACCTACCAACGGCAAGTACCAATGTGACTTTTTCCGAGTTATATGTACTTTCTAAGATTATTTAGACACCACTGACAAACGGTGAGGGAAAACGTCGTGAGGAAACTTGGGCTTATAATTTCTAATTAAAAGTTTGACATCGCCAATTCGCATTGAGCAAGCGTGGTGATTAATGCACTAACCTTCTCCATGTGAGAAGAGGCTTTGCTCAGCAGTGGACATTTATAAGCTGTTGATGTATCTTGATGAAATTTTACAGTAAGTACTTAAGATGTTTTTCAACGTTTTTTTTTTGTTTTTCCTGACTAAAACAATTTGAAAATCGGCAATACCGGGGAATAACATTACAAACGTTTTATCAGAGCTGGACACTTGACCAATAAAGCAGTAAGTAGTGTAGACACTTTACGGATAAGCAATCAAACCAAGACTACAATAAACTCTTCAACTTCATAATAGTAGTTAATATACTTAGATTTACTATTTTAGTAACAATTTTCTTTTTGCTATAGAATAGAGGGGGCAAACGAGCAGACAGATGATACACCTGATGGTAAGCGATCAGCGCCGCCCATGGACACCCGCAACGCCAGAGTAGTCCCAGTTACGTTGCCGGCCTTTTAAAAAGGAATACGCTCTTTTCTTGTAGGTTTGCATATGACGGGACGGTTGGTACGGTGGCTGGGCAACCGGCTGCCGTACAAAGCGTTGCGGGTTCGATTCCCGCACGAAGCAAGTCATTGTGTGATTCACAAATTGTTGTTCCGGGTCTGGGTGTCATGTGTATGTGAACTTGTATGTTTGTATATGCACCAAACATGTAATAAAGATAATGTGCTACTTGGAACATAAATTAATTATTGTTATTACTCAATACTACTCATACATATTATTATCCTTATTAAACCTTGACATTTAACGAATGTTGTATCATTATCCTACCAAATCAGTTTGAGTGACAGGCAGCCAACACAATCAGATAGCAGCATCGAAATATAAAGTTAAATCTAACTGCAAGTCATTCTAAACTTTACTAATTGAAGAGAGTTTAAATTCACGTGGCTGACTACTAAGTTAATCGTCTGAATGTCTATTAAAATCTCTGTAACAGCAAGATACCACACCAGCATATAATATGCGCCTATGCTTTGTATTTAGCAATAAATCATTTGTGTAAAAAATGATGTGTAAAGTTTAGTGTTTTTTTTAACGCTTACGGTGGCCGGAGATCGTCCCGCGCACGGAGTGTCCTTTGGGATGGCGCGTTGTGAGGACGCGCCCTGCCTCCTCCTTAGCTAGTATGACTGCTTCGCAAAAGGAGGAGACGGCATCCCAGTCCCCCTCGCTCCGCATCATGACCCGCACTAGGGCCGGACGCGAGAGGTCACCGTCGCCGATCACATCCCTGAGGGCACGGCGGTGCTCAGCCCACGCAGGGCATTCCCCAACTGTGTGTTCCACCGTGTCCTCAGGGCGGTCCTCGCAGTGATGACACCCGGGCGTTTCCTCCCGCCCCATCAGACACAGGTACCTCGCGAAACTTCCATGTCCGGTGAGGACCTGCGTCAGGCGGTAGGTGAGGATGCCGTAGCGTCTCCCAAGCCACGCCTCAAAGAGGGGACTTACCGCTGCAATGGCAGCGAACCCAAAAGTTTAGTGTTTACCTTGTCATAGCAATTATTAACCGACTTCAAAAAAAGGAGGATCTCAGTTTGACCGGCATGTATGTACCTATGCGATTATCTCCCGATTGGATGAACCAATTTTGATGCGGTATTCAGAAAAGTGTTTGTTACCCTTAAGTGACGCTGTTTAGTAGTATTATTAATTAACGGACTTCAAAAAGGAGGGGACTGAAAAGAATTATAACACAACCATTTATATGGATCTGAAGTTTAATTTACTATACTAGCGCCACCTATGCAGACATCTATAGGTATGACATCTGCTTCGGAAGCAGTGCTTTCCACCAGACGTAGGTGAAACTTGAATGCCGCTAAAGTTCATCAGAGCGGACAAAAAAAACTCTGTCTTTGCTTATAAATAGAAGGTTCAACGCACTGTTAGAAGATAAGTCACTTTTATCAAGATGTGACATTTAAATAAAATTGTAAGGACGTCTGACGCATGTCGCATTCGTACAAGGGATAATTTTACCATACATTCTGATAATAACAGTGATTTACCATAGAGATACGCAGTTGGTCACGTGGGTGATATTTATAGGGTTAAAGTGTAGCTAAAGTCACGTGTGGAAATAATACACGATTTTGAAGAGTGGTAACTATAAAATAACATAGCAGAAGTTCGAGTTCGATTGTCAAATCCACAGTAGGTACCATTTGTGCTTATTTTCTGAGGAATAAGAACCGTAGGTTAATATGGTTTAGTGATTACAAGGTGCAAGTACAACTATCATCTGAAACGACTTTGGATTTTAAGATCCATTCAGGGATTTTTTTATTGAATAAGCCGGTAAACGAGCTGACGGATAACCTGATGGTAAGCAAGCGACACGGCACAAGTGCGTTATCGGCCTTTTGTGGATTAGGAATTTGAGGATTAATGGGGAATCGGGGATTGGTGCGATTGGGGAGCAGGAGGTAATTGGGCTTCCGGTAACCTTACTCACATGACGAAACACAAGCTGTGATTTCACATCGGTTTTCTGTGACTCCGGTCGAGCCGGTCCATTCGTGCCGAAGCATGGCTCTCCCACACTTAATCATTTTACTAGGTTTTACAATTTTCGATATTTTATTTAAGCAATAGTGTGAATGATAGACGACCTGATAAAGGCCACAGGATTCAAATCGCTTCCAACCGTCCACTCAGAAAATCGTAAGGATAAACTGAGGTTCAACAGTAGAGTGGCCATCTTGTAGCAAATACAACAATGATGATGAGTGGCATAAAGGCTGGAATTTATTTATTTATTTATTTATTTATTATTACAGTCACAACGGTTGAGAACAAAAACCAATTAAAGTAACTGGACACATTAATAAAATTAACAATCAAACAATAAAACTGGAACAAAACATATACAATGAACCAGAAGAGTAAAACTTATTTAAAAAAAAAAATGGTACCATTCATAAGTTCCTCTCGCAGTACTTCAGGCATTCCGATAAAATCTCCTTCCATCCGTCCGCAAACAGATCACTAGTTGGATTGGAATCCAAGAGACCATTGAGCGCGGCCAGAGTGCGAGGAATCGGTGCTTTAGCACGTGCTACAGTACGACATGAGGGTACGGCAAACAATCTGTGCTTTTTACCCCGGCAGTAATTGTCTGGAACGTAAAAACGTGATAGTGACTCCAGTATGTCTGGAGCGTCAATAGCGCCACGGAGGGTTTTACAGGCTACTACAAGTTGGTTTCTTGCTCTCCTTACCTCTAGTGAGTTATATCCAAGACTACCCAATAAAAATTTTGTCGGATAGAGGTAGGGATAGTAACCGTGCATTCGCTTGTACAAATTCCTAAGGAAAGCTTTTTGAACTTTCTCTAAGAGTAGGGCGTAGGTACTTTCGTGAGGATTCCATACACACGAGCTGGTTTCCAACTTACTACGAACCAGAGCATTAAATATGATCTTAATGGCATGAGCGGTGCGAAAATCACGACAATTACGCAATACAAAACCTAACCTTTGGAAGGATTGCTTTGCTATAGTGGTTATATGGTCATGGAAAGTAAGTTTTTGGTCAAATGTGACTCCCAGGTCTTTCATGACTGTCGACTTTGTAATACTGCAATTATTTAAACTGTAATCGAAGTTGATTGGGTTCCGCTTTCGACAAAATGTCATAGCATAGCACTTGGATGAGTTAAACTCCATCTTATTATCCACGCTCCACTTGTATACTGCATCAATATCTTGCTGAAGTGCCAAGCTGTCACGCTCAGCTCAGGAATTACATCTGTACAAGAGGCTCATTCCATTCCAAAAGTTTAACATAGTCATGGATCACGAGGCTGATGCAATAAGCACCGAGTTATCAAGTTATCGCTGAATTTAAAGCACCTATATCAAATCGTGTCTCACACCACTTAGCGAGATAATAGTAAATGACTATATGAACTTATATAGTCGATAATGATGACTAACTAATTGTATAAATTGGATTAGGCAAAACATGTGAAAACTTATTAAAATTGCACAGTCATGTAAAGTTGTGTTGTAGGAAATTTTTTTATACATGTAAACTTGAAGTCGATGAAGTTTACTGTGCTTTCAGATCTGGGTTCTACACAATAATGTCTTTTTTTCACTTATTAATTATCAGGCACAACAAAATATCTATTGGGAGAAAAGCTAGTTAACTGCTTCCTCAAGTTCTTAATTAAGTAACTTGTTCCTTCAAGTTACTTATTTAAATTATCGAGGAAAAGTAAATCATTACTTGTTTATAAATTGCATAGTACCTAGTACCTACCTATTACACGAGCATTACATTAGAAAGGTATCCTAAATTTAATTTTAATGTCCGTCTGGTAGATTATTTTAAACCATTAGACACGTCTTTTTTCTTTTCTTACAAAATGAAACACTTTCGACGATACATTGATTTGCAATATCGTGTGACGTCACGATTTACTAAATTTTATAGGGTAGCGTGACGTAACGACCAACTCCTAAACTTAACTCCGTTTTATTTAACTCTTGTTTTCTTATAAAGCATAATAAAAAAATACGTGTCTAATTGTTTTCATTATCTAACTGACGAACTAATTACATTTTTAATTTTCACACACTGTCTCCTATTATTTCGATAAACGTAGTCTGGCTTTTTTCTCGCTTATCTGCTCTAACCAGATGCTGCTGTATGTCAGTCTACTGTCAATTTACATGGAGCAACTATTAATGAGGCTGGTTGACTGAAAATGGTTCAGTCTTGCTCAGATAGTTCTGGTCATTGGGGAAGGCCTATGTTCAGCAGTGGACGTCCTATGGCTGATTTGATGATGACTCATTAGCTTTGACGTCAGGAAAACAGAAATCGGTCTGTGTCCGTATATCGACAGCTTACCTGTTGGATAAAATAAAAACCGATCATGATCCAGAATAACGACCTATGTCAAATATCGGTCGCAATCTGAATATTTCGGATAGCTAGCGTGATGGTGCAGACTGGCACCGACTGTAAATGCGTAGGAAGCGAAGAAAAACAATGTCTTATTGTCACGTATATCCTAAACTTGTACCTTGAACATAAATATGTTTCCATTTGAAGGCATGAACATGAAGAAAAGTATACTTTATTTTAGCTTGACCTATGGAATCCTATATTTTACTCGGCCCTTCGACCGTGGACCGATTGCAGTCATAGACTATTAAACGTTATCTGCTGATTAAGTTCCGGCAGCTGTAGCCAAATGCCATTTAGCGCTTGTCTACATGTACAATAGAAAACCAAATTATATGGAATTGACGTAAATTTTGACACTTGTCAGTGTCATCCCCATACATTTTGATTTCTACTTTCTCTGTAGACTAGCGCTAAAGTGGCGTTTGGCTAAAGGCACTGGTCACTTGATAAAGAAGTATCAATATGCTGACATACCTATCCAGGACTCATGTTCCGGAGTAAGCCGCAGCGCCGACCCTGGCTCCCGGAGCTGCTGCAGCAACACTCCTGGGAAGGCGATGTTGGCTCCCGTGCCAATCATGTACATCACCACTCCGCTCACTGCTAGCAGCTGGAAGATAAAGTTTGAATTGTGATCAAGTCGCTTGGGTATCGTTGGCGATTTCGAAGGTAAAAAAAATAAAAACATAACATCGCGCCTTTTATCCCCGAAGGGGTAGGCAGAGGTACACATTATGCCACTGTACACAGTGTAACACCCATTTTACACTATTTATGTTATGAATCCCATGTAATACTTAGGGAGTGAGTATATTGCCATATACCGGGCACAATTCCAGATTCCGTGCTATTACTGAGATTTTTTTAAAACCCAGGAATCGAACCCGAGACCCCTTGCCCGGTAGTCGCACTTGCGACCACTCGGCCAACGAGGCAGTCGATTTAGAAGGTTAAGGTTCTTATTCCTTTTTGTATCACCTTAGAATTTCTTCAGCATTACGATCATTATTCAATAACCCTAGAAACTTAACATGTCTTCAAGTCTTCAAGAGCTTTATTTAAATTTGAATGAGTAACAATATAGAAGTTCCAGTTCAGTTTTCTAAGTTTTGTTTATATCAAGTGTTGATATATTATTTCTATTTCTGTAGCAAATTGCTACCTAAAATAGCGTTAGGACTATAGGACAAATACAAAATAGAAGTTTATGGTGGAATAGAGTGGTAAAATTAGTTAATCACATAATGACAGTAATAAAAAAGAAATGAGCTTCGTACGGAGAACACGCAAAAATGACGCACATGCAAAATTAGAGATTGTCTACGTCAAACAGATGGGTTCGAGCCACTACTCTGTTATTACCAAAAATATGTGGCTATTTGACTTTTATTGTAATAAATAGTAACTATTAGGATGTCCAGTATAAACCAAAATAAGATATTTTATCGTTAAGGTAATTAATTAAACATCAATTTTTAGTAAATAGTTATCTCGCACTAAAACATTTTCATTTAAAATATTGCCAAGACACTGTCAAAATATTAGCAGATTTCTTGTTTCGAACTCCACCACACTTTGATTCTACAAGCCCTAAGTTTACAATCTTTACACTTTAGTCAAAACGTGTGTTCTACTGGCTATTACTTTGAAGTTCTTGAGAACTTTTGCCTCGATTTTCTTCTAGTATAGAAACCTACTCAAAAGAAATGTAAAACTGATACTGCAGGCGGAAACCCAGTGAATCATACTCATTGAATTAATTAGCACTCATAATTATTCAGCTAAGCACTCTACATACAACAATTTATTCTATTTTATTAAAAAACGTGTCAATGAACGTGTCAAAATATATGTATGTCTAACATAACTTGAGGAACGTTCATAAAACCAAGTAATAAAATACAATTTTTTGCGCGCTGTCAAACTTGCTACCTACAGAATTGAGACGATGTAGGTTTTTGACCAAGTTTCGAGCTTGGTCATTGACCTTATGTCGTTGCAACTGTTCTGTATTAGGCATAGTCAAATATATTTTGATTTTATGAAGTGTGAATACAATATGAATTTACATTGACGTCTACTATTGAGTTAAGAAAACTTCAGATGATGTTTTCAGAAAGATGGAATTGAACCCTATTACTTATTTTCAGTTACACTTGTAGCCAGAAACTATCATATTGCAGGTAATCTTATGAAAACCTATAATTAATGACGAATTTAGAAAATAATCGAAATTTCGCAATATTTTAACAAACAAAACAAGGTATCGTCAAAAAGTGGAGGTCATAATAATATCTACTTGCATATAATATGTATGTACAATAATTATGTCTGTCTGTAGTAGCTATAGTGGAAGAAGAACTATACCGGTGTGTGACCACCGAGAACGGAACCTGTTTACCTGCAGAGGTGACCTGCCGTGCACTCAGATTATAATGTCACGCTAAGTATTAAGATTATAGAACAAATGGCAGCCAGAAATCGCAAACTAGATTAGAATTAAATAAAACAAAAAAATATTAATTTTAGTTTGTAAATCTTATTAGGTATTATAATATCTTGTATTTTGTCAAAGTAGCAGTGGAAAGGGCTGAGAATGGGGGCATTGAACAGAGATACGTGCCGGATAATTTTTGCAGAGCTATATAATCCAGTTTTGGCACTTTCTGGGGTTAGTGATATTTATTTAACAATATAAGTTGAAACAGAATGCCTAACAAGGCAAGGATGCATTTTTTATACTGGTCCAGTTCAACATCATGGTTTTACAAAGTTTTGAATTTGGAAATAAAGTATTTATTAATATGAACATCAAAGGGCATCGAATCAAACACACCGTACCTGATCGGAATCCATCGACCTTTTTAACAGGATCCTCTTTTAAATAGCGAAAAGAATTCTTAAACTGAAGTATATAACAAACCTGTCTCAAAAATGGAGACACCCTTTCGTAGGTGCCTTCCGTCATGGTGGAATCTCTGATGATGTTATTCTTCCAGAATTTCGCTTTAATGTTCAATTGCTTCTTGTTTTGCTTCAATATTCAATTGTGGGATGTCATGGACATCTGTGGACAAGACAATAGAAAAGTCAGTAACATGCATTTATGGTTATTACATAACATCACGCCTTTTATCCCCGAAGGGGTAGGCAGAGGTCCACGTTATGCCACTGTACAATGTAACACCCACTTTTCACTATTTATGTTATGAGTCCCATGTAATTATGAGGTGAGCCTATTGCCATATACCGGGCACAATTCCAGACTCCGTGCTACTACTGAGAATTTTTTTGAAACCCAGTAATATTTGTGGTTATTGCAGTTTACGAATAAAGTTGTAATAAGAATAAAGTTCGTTAATATCGATCAAATTCCCGGCCCGAAAATATGTGTATGAAGTGAAGTTGCAGTATACAGCTAGTAGCTCGATTCTGCAACTATTAACTATGTTACACATAACTAGTTTTCTATTCACTCGTTCTTACCGCAGTTAAATACTATCTCCAAGATATATCTAGACCAGTTAGGTACTCTATAGTACCTATATATACTATAGTCTAGATATACTTATTATAGGGCCTGTGAAAGTACAGCCTACATTAATTTAAATTGTCTACATATACATATCAACAGCCTATAAATGCCCACTGCTGAGCAAAGCCTCTTCTCACACGGAGAAGGTTTGAGCATTAACCACCACGCTTGCTCAATGCGAGTTGGCGATTTCAAACTTAAATTAGAAAATATAAGCCCAGTTTTCCTCACAATGTTTGCCTTTACCGTTTATCAGTGGTGTCTATGTCGCAGTAAGATAGATAAAGCCGTAATATAGTTATATCCCTAGGAATATAATCATATACCGGGACATAGTTATACGAAAGCGATTCATTACTATCTCACTAGGGATATAGTTATAAAACGGACCAAGTTTAGTGATATACTTATATTACTAGATTAAGTTCAGTGTTTTAAATATATTGTCTCAAAAAAGTCATATTGTTTCATATTGTAGTATATTAAAGCTTATTTAATCTCAAACATTTTTGAAAAATTGAATAACAACACAAATTTGTGAGACTTTTTTGAGACAGACCCATTACTTGATTAAGCTTAGTGAATTAGAAATCTACCATAGGCATATAATTAAATAAAATAAAGTTTATTGGTTTTATCTTTATTAATAAATCAAGTTTAAGTGTCTTGAATCTTGACTGACTTTTTGACTATAACACGAGTTAAAGTAATTATAATTTAAACAATCATATTTTTTAGAATTTAACACCGAACAACTATTCTCGGCCGACTGACTGCGGGCTTTTTTTTTTAAGGGGGGAAAATCATCGAATAACTGCTCCCGCCTGGGTGAGGCGGAAGGGAGTGTCAGACTCTTACTGACTAAAAACCACCCCGTTCCTTCTCCTGCACGTCGAGCAGGAGCCCCGGTTACCCGTTAGGTTCTCCGCGACTCCGAATCGGCATCGGCCCTATTGGGCCCCATCTGTGGTGGTCTGATGGCTCTTTGAGGCGCGCACGGAACGCGACGCGCCGTACGCTCGGGTCTGTTTCTGGTCGGACGGGGAGCCACCCATGCTCGCCGTCCGCAGGCCCGCGCTTACGGTGGCCGGAGATCGTCCCGCGATCCCCGACGCCCGGTGTGTCCTTCGCGATGGCTGGGTTGCGAGGAGGCAGCGCTTCGCTGCCTCACGCGTCCCGCCTCCTCCTTAGCTAGCATGACTGCTTCGCAAAAGGAGGAGACGGCATCCCAGTCCCCCTCGCTCCGCATCATGGCCTGCACAAGGCCCGGACGCGAGAGGTCGCCATCGCCGATCACTTCCCTGAGGGCACGGCGGTGCTCAACCCACGCAGGGCATTTCGCTACGGTGTGTTCCACCGTGTCCTCAGGGCGGTCCTCGCAGTGATGACACCCGGGCGTTTCCTCCCGCCCCATCAGACACAGGTACCTCCCGAAACTTCCATGTCCGGTGAGGACCTGCGTCAGGCGGTAGGTGACTGACTGAGGGCTGAGGAGCGCGTAAACACAACAAACCCCTCTCCCGCCGCAGGGGAGGCGGCGCGTCGCCTGCGCCGCACACTCCGAAAGCTATTTCACTAAACTTAATCTAGTAATATAAGTATATCCCTAAACTTGGTCCGTTTTATAACTATATCCCTAGTGAGATAGTAATGAATCGCTTTCGTATAACTATGATCCGGTATATAATTATATCCCTAGGGATATAACTATATTACGGCTACGTCTATCTTCCTGCGACATCTATATGTATAATATAAGAAAGTACATATAACTCGGTAAAAGTCACATTGGTACTTGCCGTTGGTAGGTTTCGAACTCGCAGCCTCATGCATGAAGCAGGCGTCTCAACCTTCGAGCCACCACGACACTTGTCATTTAAACTGTCAAACACCGCGAGGACACCGGTGACAGCAACCTATTGTTCTTTAATTGTGTCTATAATGACGGTACTCAACGAGTTAAATTGTCTATTTTATTGGAATGTACATATCTGTACTAATTAAAGTATTATCAATCAAGTTATTTTGACGATGAATGATAATTTTTTTTGCTTTTCTATTAGATACAGAAACAGAATCCGGGATACCTCTTGTTTTTGACTTTGTGAACACTCGACAATTGTAGCAATAATAGAGACACTTAATCTCTTAAGTAATATCTAAGTGGATCGCATGTCCATCTACTATTACTCGTACATATGTACATAAGTACCTATGCTCAACAACATAGCATTTTCCACCAGTTGACAATTGACCCTGTATTCATAGTGAATGATTTGCAAGTTTTTTATTTTGTACAAACATAAACACGTACATGTTTCCGCATATTGAACATTGTTTCGCAATAATAATTGCGCTTGCGCTGCTTGGTTAGTACGTCACTAGTTTCTAGGTGTATGATAATCTTGACTTAAGTATAATATTGTTAAATACTCAAGAAAGGATAGAAAAAAAAATTACCACTGCTTACCTCTTCGGAAAATGACAAGCATACATATAGGAGTTTCATTTCAGTAGACAGTAGTGACCATTTTTCACCAGTTAAACTAACATAACATAACATCACGCCTTTTATGCCCAAAAGGGTAGGCAGAGGTGCACATTATGCCACTGTACAATGTAACACCCACTTTTCACTATTTATGTTATGAGTCCCATGTAATAGGGGGTGAGCCTGTTGCCATATACCGGGCACAATTTCAGACTTCGTGCTACTACTGAGAATTTTTTAAAACCCAGTAATACTTTGCACGACCCGGGTATAGAACCCGCGACCCCTTGCCCGGGAGTCGCACTTGCAACCACTCGGCCAACGAGGCAGTTAACCTCTGCGGCCTATGCCATAGAGGGTCATCTACGGAACGATAATCCTAAACATACGTTTAAACGTCTCAGGATAGAACTCATAGCTTGAGATTTTAAGAGACATTCATGAGAAATTACACCATCTAGTCTTCCAACCAGATAACAATCCTTATCCTTACTAGTCCTTACTATCCTTACTAATATCCTTACTAATATTATAAATCGGAAAGTGAGTTTGTTCGTTTTTTCCGCTTTCACGCCGTAACTACTAAACTGCTTGCTTTGAATTTTTGCATACGTAAAGTAAGAAGTCCGGATTAGATAATAGGATACTTCTTATCCCGGAAAAATTTGACATTCCCGTGGGAAAAATAAAGTATTGGTATAGATGGCGCTGTGTGTATTGGTATTTGTCACATAGGCTACTTTTTATCCTTTTGTGACGCAAGCGAAGCCGCGGGTAAAAGCTAGTATAAAAATAAGTTAAACTCACACCATCCTTATAATAAACGTAATTATGTAAACTCAAGTCATTGTGTTGACAAACACTTTCTCCTGCTTTCCCTGTCACCATGTCACATGCTTCTTACACAATATATTATGACGGGTTTCTGACAAACATACATACGAAGTGACAATCATTCAATAATGGATAACCAGGTACCAGACAATAGGGTAGATGCCTAATTTTTATTGTAATGTCCGTCTGGTAGATTATTTTAAATCATTACACACGTATTTTTTATTTTCTTACAGAAACGAATACTTTCGACTATGTATTGATTCGAAATGTCACGTGACGTCACTTCTATGTACATTTTATACTTACGTAGAAATGACGTTTTAGCCCCCACTCCTAAACTTTGATTCGTTTTATTTAAGTATTATTTTAGTATACAATAAAATAAAAAAAACGTGTCTGATAATTTTCATTACCTAACTTATGGCCTAATTAGATTTTTTATGTTTCATTCCCCGTCATCATCCCAATTTGTTCTATACAGCCTCTAGAAAACCACCCATGGACTTCTCCAGCCGTGCGTGAGGCGAGAGGGAGTGTCACACTCTTATTGACTGAAACCACACCGTTCTTACTCCTGGTTCGAACCCCAGTTACGGTGTCCGCAGCTCCGGTACCATACAGCCGCTGTATTAATAATGTCTTTGTACCTACATGGAAAGTGATCCACAAGCAGCCAGAAGTGCCAGGCAACGGAGGAATTCGGAATTCCATTTTGCGATCACGTAGCGATAAGGACTGAGGACATTTTATTCTGTCCCATCTAACCCTGTAAGGGTTCTATTAGAACATTCTTTTCTAACAAGGAACCACATTTCTCAACATCATTAGATTAAGAGTCCTTCCTGCAAAATGGGTAGTTTCCAGGGTATATAAATTAAAAATCTAATTAGTCCGTCAGTTACATAATGAAAAAATATTAGACACGTATTTTTTATTTTCTCGTATTAAGTTGCAGTACTTAGATAAAATGGCGCTAAGTTTAGATGTGGGAGGTTGTTACGTCATAACGTGCTACAAAATATGTCACGCTGTGACGTCACACGATATTTCAAATTAAGATATCGTAGAAGGTATTTAATTTTGTGAGAAAAAAAAATACGTGTCT